TCTCTCTCTCTCTCTCTCTCTCTCTCTCTCTCTCTCTCTCTCTCTCTCTCTCTCTCTCTCTCTCTCTCTCTCTCTCTCTCTCTTGTCTCTCTCTGTCTCTCTCTGTCTCTCTCTGTCTCTCTCTGTCTCTCTGTCTGTGTCTGTCTGTCTGCGTCTGTCTGTCTGTCTGTCCGTCTTTCTGTCTGTCTGTGTCTGTCCGTCTTTCTGTCTGTCTGTGTCTGTCCGTCTTTCTGTCTGTCTGTGTCTGTCCGTCTTTCTGTCTTTCTGTCTTTCTGTCTTTCTGCTTCTCTCTCTCTCTCTCTCTCCCTCTCTCTCCATCAGGTGCCCCCTCCCCCCAAACGGACCATAAAGACCAAGGGGCTGCATTACTGTCCATGGAGGAAGGATTGTGCAAGAAAAAGACATGGATAATCAACACAGGAAGTCGCTGGACATATTGCATACCTGTGTAAAGCACTTTTTCTGATGAGCAGTCGGCTTCCCGAAGTGGAAAGTTCTTGTCACATCCGTTGTCCCATCCAGATACTGAAGGAACACATTCAAGACACCAGCAGGAAAGTAAGAAAAATACCCGAGCAAAAAATGGAGGAAAGAAGAGCCTGAAAAGGTAATTTTCTTTGTCACATCCGTTGTCCCCATCCGGATCTCTCTCTCTCTCTCTCTCTCTCTCTCTCTCTCTCTCTCTCTCTCTCTCTCTCTCTCTCTCTCTCTCTCTGTGTGTGTTCAATCACCTCTGTGACGTGACTGAGGCAGAGCAGCGAGGCTGGGGAAGAGAGAGGGAGGGATTCCTGCCTTAGTGCGAAAGGAAGTGATCGAGCAATTACAACCAGGAGGTGGGCTTGGAAGCAGCCATCCTTTGAAGAAAGCGTAATACTCTCTCTCTCTCTCTCTCTCTCTCTCTCTCTCTCTGTGTGTGTGTGTGTGTGTGTGTGTGTGTGTGTGTTCAATCACCTCTGTGACGTGACTGAGGCAGAGCAGCGAGGCTGGGGAAGAGAGAGGGAGGGATTCCTGCCTTCGGTCAGCCCAGATCGTACGCTAAGGTCCTAAAGCAATCACTTAGTGCGAAAGGAAGTGATCGAGCAATTACAACCAGGAGGTGGGCTTGGAAGCAGCCATCCTTTGAAGAAAGCGTAATAGCTCACTGGTCTAGCTTCATCGCACCGAAAATGAATCGGCTCACTGGTCTAGCTTCATCGCACCGAAAATGGATCGGGGCTCAAGTGGTTCACCGAAGCGACGAGACCAAACAAAATCAATGTTGCAAACGCCTCTCCAGGCATGCAGCAAGACATGCTGGACACGAAGTGCTATTGTTTGCCATTGATCTTCAGGGTCAGTAGCGGAACGTTCTATAAGTAAATAAAAGACAATCGATTATCTACCCAAAGGTCCCAAAATGAAATAGAGTCCCAAAAGACCTATGATGGTAATAAATATGGTTAACCTAGGCTACCAGAGTGGCCCGGGGTCACTTGCCCGGCCGGGTCAAAAAAATAAAAATAAAATAAAAATAGAAGAATTATTTTATTTTTTATTTTTTATTCTAAATTTGGTGAA